TCTGCACCCTACGGAGGGAACTGGACATTTATGAACCTGTCGCCAAGCAGAGCATCTAGAGATGAACAGCTGCAGACGCTGGATGAGAGAAGGGGGGACAGAGGGGGAGAGGGGGAGAGAGGGAGGGAGGGAGGGGGAGAGAGGGAGGGAGAGAGGGAGGGAGAGAGAGAGAGAGAGAGAGAGAGAGAGAGAGAGAGAGAGAGAGAGAGAAAGGGGGGGAGAGGAGAGCCTAACTAGCCAGAACTGTCTTTACTTCACTGAATTTCCTGTGGCAAGGCTCTGTCCGCATGACCTGATTCTGTCCTCTGACCTTCGGTGGTCTCGCTGGGAAGCACGCTGAGAGCCATTTCCATGGACAAGAGGCGCGTCGCGAGTGGCCTCCTTACACTTGAGACTTATGTGCCTGCAGCCATGAGGCTGGCGAGCATCCTGGCTCGGCCTTCCTAGGGGCAGAAAGACGTCACTGGTCTTGGCTGTGCAGGTGACAGGGATGCTCTAGAAGTTGACGGTGGAGGAGGCTGATGAAGGTTACCTCACAACACCCCATCTGGGGGCCTAGCAAACCAGACCCGGCCTCACTGTCAAATCCGGCCTCTGTCTCAAGTTTTGCTGGAACAGACGCTGGCTTACGTACCACCGTCTCTGGCTGTTTCTGCGCAGCGAGGCAGAGCTGAGGAGCTCGCACAGCCCAGATGGCCACAGCCCGACATTTACTGCTTAGCCTTTTGTAGGAAGTAGGTGGACCCCCATCAGAGGTCTTCGGATGGTGTGGACCAGGACACACATGGCTGGCAGGATTCCACCTCCATCTGAGAGCGTTTGGGGAGACTTGGGGACCAACATGGACTTCTGGCTCGGCAGCCAGTCGGTGGCGAGGTTACTGACTGCAGCAGCGGTACATTCTGGGGGTGGAGGMTGGCCTCAGGAGTCTGGCTTAGGACTTCCTTAGTCYCCAACCTGCCTTGCAAGTGCCTGGAAAGGGAGGAGGCAGCGTGGGCGTGGCTTCCCGCTTCTCTTATCAACTTAGTCCCATCAGCCACTGAGTTACCACAGCCTGCTGGCTGCTGCGACTTGGCTGCTGAGGTCGGAGACAACATCTCTTGATTGTCCACTCAGCCCACAGGACACAAAGAGGCCTGGGCACAGGTCAACAGATAACTGTTGTGGGCAAAAAGGAGCAGGTCCAGGAACAGAGTTTCCATCAAAGGAGGTGACTCTGGGGAACAACTGTCACACCTGCCCTTGAGGAGTGCCCAAGCTAATGTGGGATAAGACACTGGAGACTTAATAAGCTGCGTGGGCTGCGGCAGCCCCGACGGCACCCCAAGACAGACGAGGTTTCCTGCGGGAAGCGGCCCTGGCTGGCCCCGGGGCTCTGAGGAGTGGGCAGGAATCACGGCTACAGAGACAGCGTGTCCATTTCAAGGGTCATCCAAGAAGAGGGGGCAGCAGTCCTCTGAGCTCTTTGCCTGTGCTTTGAAAAAGGGGCACCTGGAACCGAAGCCAAGACGGGTGGGCCAGGGGATCTTTTTAAAAGTCCCTCCTCATGGGACTCTAAGCTAAAGCCAGGATGGAGCACCACTGTGTCATGAGCTGACTTTTTCAAATTGGTGCCTCCAGCAAAACAGTCAAGACATGGGACCCCAAAGACCCAGCTCTCCAAGAGCCYGCCTGGGATGGGGACGTTCCTCTTTTGTCCAGGGACACATTTTAACTCACAATTTAAGTTGGTAAGAGAAATGTGTGGAGGAGTCACGAAGCAGCGGTGTCCCTCCTGGGGAGGGCAAGCCACCCTGGRGGAGCAGCAGGGCCAACAGAGTTCTAAAGTCTCCTTTGAACAAAAAAGCGGCCCAACGACACGGCGGTGTCAGATGGGAGGAAGGATGAGACACAGGGTCAGCGTGTCAGACGGATGGGTTAGGATTCTCGTGGCCTGCCTGGCCTTGGGGCTGCTGGAGAGCTGCACTTCCCGCTTCTTCTAGTGCCGTCCGGGAAGAGGACTGGTTCTGAAGGGCACCGCCGCTGCTCAATGTCTCCAAAGCAGAAAGCATGACCCGAGCAGCACTGGCAGCGTTCCTGGGAAGCACCCCATTCCYGCAGGAGCTCCAATTCAGCAGGACAACCTGGAAATTGGCCTTGGCACTCTCCCTCCCTCCCAAGCACCCCAAGGGCTCAACTCTACAGTCACCAGTGCCACCTGGAAAAAACATATTCTGGAGCCAGAACTTCTCCTTTCTRTGGCACTTAGGACACCAAATCTGAGGGTCTAAGAACCAAGTGTGAACTCGCTCCTTGCAGATGAAGGATCACAGAACTCCCACACCAGGCCCTTGCAACCAAACTGCTAGGACAAGACGGACAAAAATGCTGGTGGAATCTCTGGCTTCCTCMGAGGAGGTCAGTGCAGGAAGCTGGGCTGCGAAACTTTAAGATTTACCAAGCTGAAGAAGGGCCAGAGAGGTGGACTTTAAAAGCCAGTTATGATGCCCACAAAGACAGGAGATCCAAGTGAGTTCAGTAGGAGGCGGTCTGGTAAATGAGTGGGACAGGAAGAGAGCGCTCACCCAGGAAAGGACCTGCCATTTGTTAGAGGCCGCGATGTCTCAACTGGCCCTGGTGGCCTTGGGGCTGGGGGTCCTGACCTCCATTTCCAGATAAGGAGTCCAAGATGTGAGGAGGAGCCAGGGGTGTGCTGACTGAGCTGTGGCCCGAGGCTCCTTGGGTCCCTGCTGCCTTGGGCCAGGCGTCTGCTTTCTTGTCTGTACCATGACTATAGTGTCTAACGTCCCTCTCCACCRTCTCTCGCCTCTTGCCCGACTATCACGCTGACTTGGAATTTATCTGTCCCTAGTTCTGTCACCCATGTTGGGCTGTACAATTCCTTTTTTCCATCTTAGACCCTCTAGTAATACTGAGTGCCGGACCCATGACTGCTCAGACCGACGAGAGCGTGAGCGACAGACCATCACCATGAGCGCACACACCTCATCTGAAATGGAAAACCAGAAGGCTCACCTCGGAAACCAACCCGAACACTCTGGAAATGCAGCAATCTGTACCGAACCTGTCCACCCTGATGGCCACCTCTCCCAAGGCTGTGTACTCTAGAAAGCAGATAAAACCACAGAATAGTCGTCGCTCGTCCAGAAAGAAGACACCAGAGAAGACACTGTCCAGAGGAGAGGCGAATCAGCCCCAGACCACAATGCCACGATCTTGAACAGTCAGGATCTCACTTCAAAAAAATATTCTCGATTTCCATATTTCCCCCTACTGGAAAAAAAATGTTTAAAAAACCCCTTTAGTTTACTGCTGAGCTTTTAAAGACAGAAAATTATTTCAGAAACCAAGAGTAACATCTTAGTGTGTCTCACGTGCCTTTCCAGAAGTTTGCAATAAAAACACAAATCCCGTTTCTTCCCCTTTCTTTTTCCCAGAGTGGGAGTGCTGCACACCACAGAATTCTAGAAAGACCCGTAGAGCGGGCTGCAGTGTTCCGCACCAGCCGAAGCATCAGGGAAACAACCACTCGAGCACACAAGTGGCATTTTGTGATCAAATTTATTTTTTGTTTAAATTTCATTTACTTTGTTTTACTGTAATTTACACAAGAGACTGCCAAGTAAACTAGGTATTTTACATTCACCACACATTCCCTCAAATCTCCACAGTTGTTAGAAAGAYATTAAAATCCATGTGCCGGGCTCTCATTTCCATGTGTGCCCAAGCTCCCAATGAGACTGCAGATGCCAGCAAGAGTTAGGTTTGTTAGGAGAGAGGCCTGGACTCTCCACTCCACAAATCAGCATCGCCTTCCTCGMACCCGACGCTCTGCAGGCGACGATCACGCTCTGACAGAACCATTACCCTCAGAGCCCCGAGAGGAAACATGGTCTGTATCCTGAGTACGTGGAGGACGTTTGAGACTCGGGGTGTGCTGCTGAGGTACCAGGGTCTCAATGCGGCAGCACTCGGGTCGGGACACAGGACACGTGGGAAAGCGCAGAGCAACAAGGGCAGGACTGTCAGCAAATCGGATGACTACTGCGCTCTGACCACAGGGCCGGGGTGGGGTTAGGAGGAGCAGGGGGTTACAGACGACAGTTTGTGGCCCGAAGGCCTCAAGGATATCACTGCACTCAAGCTTCCAGGCCTGACAGGGGAAAAGCTGCATCCAGACAGAGAAAGCGGATAAAGATCTACCCAGCCACTGCTCCTTCTTTAAAAAAAAAAAAAAAAAAAGGTGGCAGTGACGTCTAACCAGCACTTTCCTGATGCCTCCTCAGGGAATGTCACTGGATGTCTACCAGAGAGCAAGCAGATCCAGAAGTCGGGGTCACCAGCCCCCCAGGGCCCTGAGCGGCAATGAACCGTCCCACCTCACAGGCAGCCCCCAAYCCAAGTGCACTGCCACACAGAAAGAGCACACTGTCACCACGGACCCRCCGGGCCCGGCTGCAAGGCTTCTGGACCGTCTGCGCCGTCTCTGCATTAACCCCAGAAAACAGCCGCTTCAGAAATGAGACCCCGGGAGGCGCTGGCGCCCAGCCTTTCTATGCGGCCTCCGATACCATTCAGACTGACTTCTTTATCGATCTGTTTACCTAACAAGAGCCTGAAAATGTTCTAGTGTTTACTATAAATCACAAATCGTCATCTTCATTTTTCTAGGTTTGATGTAGAAAAATACTTGAAATTTAAAATACAAAACTCCAATAAAAACCAGAAAAAATTTTTTAAAAGGATTTTCCCCTCAAACTAGTAAAAACTGGCCTGTAACTTTACTCCTTATTTAATAGAWATCATCAAATTTGGCTGGAAGATAATGACCATCCAGAAATAAATAATTATAAATACATTCAGAGTTGACATTCCAGATTCATGGGAGTACCAAAAAGTTTTGAAGGAATCTCTCTGTGGGAGTCTGCTGCTTATGGGACTAAAATAAAAATTATAAGAGACTGATTTAAAAGAACAGAAAAATAACAAAAGGCTATATATGTTGGTCCACAGCTTGACATTTATGAAACATACCAGCTCGTATCACATCGCAGTCAATTTGTCCATTAATGGTTTTACTCTGATAATTATTAAAATCTGTTCCAGGTATATATATTGAAAATATTTTCTTTTGCATTCTTGCTGAAGATAGGTACAGTACGTTGGAGAAAGTGTACTAATCCSTTCAGGATGTTTGTATGTACATATATACACACACGCGTGTGCATCTGGGTCTGCAGCTCTACATGCGTTCTATATACAGCCACAGACACACACACACACAGACACATGTGGCTGGGAACCTGTGCGTGTGTGTGCGTTTCCACAAGCACACGTCGGAAACTTCAACACTGCAGGACACTGGTCAGATTCGTCTTCACTCGTCACTGGCTGCACTGGTTCCCCTCACTTGACCTTGATTACGTAACTGTAAGAAAAGCGGAAGACAGTGAGAACGCGTTACCACACAGGGGATGAAGGACAGTAGCTTGTCCCGCACACTCACCAGAAAAAATCTGTCAATGTGGCAAAACTTTTGGCAGAAAATTTATCCCAACTACTGCACCTTAAAATTTTACTCTGATCAAATAGATTCTAGTCTTACTAATGGCATAACATTTTGTTTCATCAGATGGAAAATTAAATTAGAAGCAAAATAAATCACAGAAGCTTAGCAGAACTTAATAACAACAGTAACCTAAGAAAAACTTTTTTAAAATGAACACTATATAAAGAGAGAGCTTCTGCAGAAGCCTGGGAGAGTCGCTCCATTCTTATTTGGTATAATCACCCCTTTCCATGGATGGGCACCCCAGTCACTGCTTGCACTGGGAGCAGCAGCTCACTAAGGGGGAAGCAAAGAGCCATGGTGGAGAGGGGAGCCTCCGGCCCCCGTGAACATCAAGGTTCGGGGTTTGCCCCGGAGAACGGGCCATCACTTCTGTTTGCCTACACTCATTCCAATGCGCGGTTCCGACTGTGGTATGTATTCTTATTCCCCTTTTAGGGCAATCTGTTATCTGGGCATATGAGYTGTATTAGATAAATAAGATCATGGAAATCTTTTGCTATTAGTTAAAAAAACAAAGTGCATTTACACAGAGAAAAGCTAGCTCAGAGGTAACTGAAGGTCAACCATGGAGGAGCGCTCTGTGTTGCACAGAAACAAATCTCACCTAATTTTTTAAAGGGAATCAATCACCAAGGCTGGCCCTTACAGTATGGGGTGAGGGCTCTTTGTTTCCTCACTAACCCCACAGGGCCCTACTGAGCAGCAGGCCAGTCACCTGGCTACTGGAACCAGCCAGCTTCCAAGATGATGCCTGCGATAAGCAAGGGCACGGGGAGCTGGCTCCTGATGTGGCACTAAGGGCGAGCCCTGACGACTACACTCCACATGAGTCTCACAGTGTGACAACGCAGGCGTTCACTGTCTGTTTCTAAACTATCTATCTACTATACTTTAAAAATAAAGCCACATTTAACACTTGGTCAGAGCCCCTGTGCTCAGCAAGTCAACTCCCCCTTACCAACAGGTACAGGTTTGAAACATTCTTTTTATCCAGGTCTTCACTTACACAGTGTGATATTGTCTCTGACCCTACAGGGGACTCATCTAGACATCAGCAGCCGACGTGCCTCGGACGGTACCCTTCTTACGCATCTAAACGTAAAATAAAATCATGAGCTGCTAAAATCAGACTCTGAGTAGGGGTTAGTAAGCAAGAGGAGAAAGAGGACCTAGATGAGCTAATGAGGGAAGGCCACCTGTTGACAGCCATATCCTCCTGTGAGTGAAGTGCTGAGGCCCCGCCAACATTGCTGGCCTAAAGACTCTTGCAAGAGGCTTTCCTTACAGACTGAAAAATCTGTGGACCTCGTATCATCTTGTATCTGACAAAGGCCTACAGACTGACAGGAACTGATCAGAGACACTGATGGTACATGAGCCGTTGTCAATACAATGTGACAAACTGCCCCTAAGTGTGGTTTATACTACTATAGTCCCCAGACCAGGCAGAAGCCATGGGGGCAGGAGGTGTGGGAGGGGTGGAACGGGACCTCTGCTGCTTCTGAGACCAGGTCTCTCGGGTTCTTTAAAGCAAGATTGCTGAAAGGAAAGTGAATAAAAGCAGCAAGCAAGCCCAGATACAGGATGGCAGAGAAGCGAGGAGGGAAAGATCAACAGAAAGGGCAGGCGTTAACAGCAGACTATAGACAGACAGACCTCAACGAGCAAAACCAAAGAAAATGTGATCAACCCACTGCCTCCACACCCCAGAGGCCAGCGGGGAACCACAGGGGGGACATCTGTCCCAGGAAGCCCTGCAGGTGCTGGGCTGAACTCCAGCAGCCCTGTGGGGGCCCAGCCTCCTAGGTGCCAGGCCTTCTCTACCTGACCAAAACCTGGTCACGAGAAAACGAGAGGATTCTGAAAGACCTGTGAGTAAGAGCATCACAATGCATCGGGTGATGCCACCAGGCATCGGGAGGCAGGACCTGAGGGCAGGGCAAAATCCTAAAGAGCATTTGAAATCACCAGGCCTCACGTGTGCATGCGCCCCACCATCTGAAGATGCCCAGACCCACTCTCATGGCAGCAGAAATGCCACGAGGAACTAGGCACTCCCCGGTGACTGAGAGCGAGAGAACTTAGGTAGGACTCCATATCAAGACGGTCAGCTGTACAGGACTCGGATCAGCCTGGCCACGTGGGTGCGAGGATGCAGGGCTCATTACCTGGGGCTCTGAGCTGCTGTCTCCCCCACACCTTCTGGAACCCCGTTTCCAACCCACATGTCACAGACTTGCGTGGAGCAGCAGCTGAGCCTGCAGGGCCACTGCCACAGATAGCAACCAGTCACCAGTTCCCCACCGGGGGTCCCGCCATGGGTTCAGGTCATCAGGAGACTGAACTTGCACAGGAAGCAGGAGTGGAGAAGAGGTGTTGCCGAGTTCTATCTAAGAACTTCCTGGGACTCAGAGCCCAGGCCAGGCGGGGAGGGCTGCAGCAACCCACTGGCCAGCGCTGCCTGCTCTTCTACATGTGGGACAATTCTTCAATGAAACACCCAGAACCAAGAGAAGGCCTTTTTCCCAAGGGCTCAAACCAACAGAAACAAGCTCATTTTCTGTTTCCTCTGGGGGTGGCAAAGGCTCGCGGGCAATGGCAGAGCTGTGCCACGAGCCTAGGTAAACGCAAGCCAGCACACAGCTCCCCATGCACAGGACACCAGCTGCACAGAGGGGCCAGAGGTGGACAGCAGTGTCTTCGCAGCCTGGGATACGTGGAGGAGGGAGCGACCCTAGGCAAGGTAGGAGGAAAGCAACTGAAACTGGGCGGGGTGGTGACAGATGCTTCTCAGGGGCAGAGAAGGCACCTCACTGTTGAGAACAGGGCACAAAAGTGGGCAAGAGGCAGGGAAAGGAAGGAGGGAGGCACCCACGGCCAGCGCGAAGGCAAAGGCCTGGGGAGGGCCTGGACTCCCGCATCTCCTCATCCCACCCGAACCCGGCTCTCAGAGCCCTGCCACTGAGAAGGAGAAACTAGGGCTGATCTAGAAACCAACTCAACTATGATGTGATCCTATGGCAAAATACGCTCCAAACTTCAAACAATCAACCTAAAAAAATTTGGAGCAAAATCCATTCATAAGTTGGAGTCTGCCTATAGTTTACTTTGTGTATAAGATAAGGTTAAGACATTTTATTGCCTTATAAAGAAAATATGTCCGAGCCCTCTCAGAAGGTTTGTATAAAGCTAATTAGAAGCAGACCTGTTGTAATCACCAAAAGTAAGCAATTTTAAAAACAGATTCTTTACAATGAGATGTGCCAGAGAAATAGGTTCCCTCTGTGCCAAAGAACCTGACATACGGCCACTCTCCCCCCGCTAAACTAGGCTCCCCCTCACCCGCGGGAGTTGGTCAAACACACGCGCACCTGTGGGCTTCCAGAGCTGGGCCTGCTGGCAGGACTCGAGGTGACCACATGGAAACCACTAGCAGGCCTTGGACATTCCTTGGGTTCGTTTCCCCTCTGGGGCCTTGCTGCCAACTGCAGACAAGCGTGGCCCAGGGCAAAACCAAAACCAGACACATGCAAGAGGAAGCCAGAGAAGAATCCATCCCTGAGAGAAAGGAGACACCCACTGGCGACAGGGCTGCTGCGGCTCAACCCTAACCCAGCAGGCTGACCTCCTGCCAGGGGTCCCCAGAAGGCGCCCCAAACTCAGAACAAGTCAACACTCACTGCAGATCGGGGAGGGAGGAGGCATTTTTAGATCAGCGACCACACCAGCCTTACCTTGTGCACAGAAGAGGGAACCAGAACTTCAATCAGCTGTGACAAAACTGAGCCAAAGGCTCTCGCTTCTGACAAAGGGACTCTAAAAGGACTGAACTAATGTGACAAGTCCTTGTTCCCTCTTCTGTTAGAGAAGTAATGCATGAGAAGAACTACAAAACCACTGGGCAGTTCACAGGTGACAAAGTCCACCTTCAGGAAAGATGATCAATAAGAGAGGAGCCAGAACCCAGGAAGCGGGCATTAGTGTCTAGAAACTCCACTGTGATGCAGACAGAGCAGAGAGAGGCTTCAGGAACACTCTTCCTAGTTCTAGGTCTACACAGTTTCAGACAGGGGAAATGAGGGGATTCCCGTAGAATGGCAAGTCTTACTGTTTCTAGTTCTTTCTGAGTCTCGTCTTCCATTCTCCTAATATCCTCCATTGTCAGATCAATCCACTTGTCGATCCAACAAAAAAGCTGGCGATGAAAGTTTGTAAATATCCTTTTTTCTTGCTTTTAAAACAAAGAAGAAAAGTAGCATAAGATGGCAAAAGTCTGAGATTAATGACACACTGACGTTACATGTCCCAATTAACCCACGAAACTCACATTTTTAGTTTGAAGCCTAGTGGAAATCTTACCTCCACCCTATTATCATCTTGAACGGCAAAATAAAGACAAAAATTTCTCTGTGAAGTGGGAAATGATCTCCCCTGGCCAAGGGGTAATGATCTAGTAGAAACAAACAAACAAAAAAAAGTGGTGTGCACCACCTGATCCAGCACACTCCTGCTGGACCTAATCTATTTTTACCTTTTCCTAAATGTCAGTGAGCAAAGGCCGACAGGATTTTTTCCTGCTATAAAACTACACATTGTCATTCTTCACCTCTCTGCATTTCAAGGGAGTACTGAGAGGTGGCACAGAAAAAAATGGACTGAGAGAAAAAGAGACCTGGGTTCCTTGGGATAAAGAGGTTTTATTAAATTAAGAATTCTTACACACTCACCACTAATTTTTCAGTGCTGTGTTACTGCCACTACACACACATATGTGTGTGTTTTATATATATATATATACATGGCTTATACACATATTTGTGTCTATATAAAAGCCACGTATACTATAATGGTTTTAACTGCTGAATGACTTAAGCTGTACTCAATGTTCTTGAGAGAAGCGAATGAAAACAGTGAGTACTGCTGAACAATCTTCAGTTTTTCTAACTTTTGTCCATGAACTAACTTTATCGATTACATGTGCGACTTCTGCTCATCTAGTCCTCCGTCCCACGAGGGAGGAAGCCAGTGTTCCCGCAGAGCCGGCTGTGGGCCAACAGCCAGCAGGCACTGCGGGGTCCCTGTCCTACAGCTATGGGGGAGCAGACATAGCTAGTGGTGGGAATCAGAAATATAACGGGGGCTTCCTTTGAATGATAATGAAATAAATATTCATACTACAGAAAAAGTAAAGACCAGGACACTTTCCTGGTTCCTTGTGGATTTCTAATCAGGTGCATTTTGTTGTTGGTTTGCTTTCGGCACCGAGGTCTGAACCAGGGCCCCGTGAAAGCTGCACAGTGCACAACCATAATGGGTGCTATGTAAGCGCAGCTCCCCGTCCTCAGAGATCTGAACTACCTATACGTTGCYTTCCCTTTAGTGATAAGGACAAAAAAACAAAAGCCAATTAGGGTCTGGGTTATCAGATCATGTAAAGTTAATTCAGAGTGCCTTGTTCTCAGTGAGCACCTCTAGRGACCCCCACATGAAGGCACAGTTGTGTGTGTCACAAAGACGGGGTAGGGCAGCGGAACCTTCAGGAGGCAAAGCCTACCCACTCACTCCAGCTAGGCCCAGGATTCCCTGGGGACATGCTATGTGTGGCAGTGCTAGGTAGGCCACAGGAAAGCCTTCTGAATGGAACCGCTCTGCACTTCCCCCAAGGAAAGTCCCTTAAAACCTCAGGCACCTGTCTTTGTGGTTTCTAAGGATAAAAAGGACAGAAACTGATTGCACAAATAACTTTCATCTCATAATGGAGGGGGAAAAAGTAATAGCAGAAAAAAATCTCCCACCAGTAGCTACCTCAAATCTGAACCTGGCCCCAAGGCACCACGTTCTCAACAGATGTTACCTTCTGAATGAAGTTCTCCACTTTGCTCTGCAAGCCCCACCACTTGAACTTGATGGTCACTAGCTTGTAGGCACACATCCGAGGGCAGTCAGTGTCGTCTGCCAGCTCCTTCTGCATGAGGGAAATTGAAAAGGAGAAACGTTAAAACCAACGGTCGTGCCACACCATCGCAGACATATGTGAAGAAAATCACAGTCTTGAGTGTTTRATTCCAATATGTGGAAATTCAAAATCATTTCTGAAAAAGCAGCAGCCCAACCCCCCTGCTGGGAACAGTCCTCCTACAGACCAAGGGACTTCCATCTGACCTCTAAAATTCAACGGGCATGCTGCTGGGCCTCAATGGCTACTCCTCTCCAGATGCCTTATTAAATACCAACCTCTACTCACAGCATGTCAAAAGTGAGCTTTTACTACACATGGATCTTCCTAACGCCAGTACCACACACCCGCCTGTGGACCTCCAAACACTGGCCAGTGCAATGGCACTGCTCATAAGCTGCACAGATGATATAATATGGATTTTAATTTTCACCAATGATTACATCTCCCAGCCAGGGAATGAAACCGAGTCTTGTTCTGGACAATAAGAGTGTGAGGAAAAGGACCAGAGAGAGACTCAGGGATCAAATGGATTAAGAGAGTCAAAATATAATGTCTGTAATTTATTTTCAGGAGACGACAAGAAAAAAGCAATTAGCAGCAGAAGCCACAGATGTCAGTCACCCTGCTTTCAAAGTATGAAAACTTATTCTTAATGTGTAGGTTTCACCAAAAAATAATTTAAATACCGAATGCAGTCGGGTTCCCTGCTCTCGTTTCAGTTTTCGGGATAGTTTTGAAATTTCTCACTAAATCTCCATCAGGGGTGGCAACCTGTGGCACTTGTGCCTTCGACCATTAGTGACCCTGGGTATTTTCAGGAGGGGGCTTGTGTGTTGACTTGGGTCCGCTTAGTGGAAGGGTTCCCTTTCAAAGTAGTGTATGCAGGAGACCCAAACAGTCTTGAGCAGATCCAGAGGCTGGGACAGGCCCCTGGCAGGAGGCCAACCCCATGTTCCTGCCCTCGGGGCCCCCAGTCTAGTGGGCAAGAAAGGCACAAAGCAAAGAAAACGGGACACAGAGGCCGACTGCAGGGATAAGGGAAAAGGACAGTTCCCCAAGCCTAATCCCCAAAGTTGGTGGCCTGTGAGACCACAGTAAGCAACAAAAGCCCCCAAAATGTCATATTCTGAAGATTAAATAAAGCAGTACATGTTCCATGCTTGGTAGGACTCCAGGGCTTAATACACATTAGTTTCCTCTCTTCTTATTTGTTAGTAGCTTAATTTATCTCTTTATTTATTTTTATGTAATGCTGAGGATTGAACCCAGGGATCTCCAGGGGCCAGGCAAGTGCTCTACCACTGAGCCCCTTATCTGTGACTTTCAATCTTCACACAAGTTTAACCAAATTCTTCTTCATCCAAGTAAACAGTTCGAGTCACGTGCACTGCAGGGACCTCCTGCAGAAACTAAATCATCAAGCCCAAGATGGGTGCTCCCAAGGTGGGAGCACAACACAAYGCCAGTCACACCAGCTGCCACCGCTGCTTCCTCTGGTCCCAACCCACTTGGGCATCCTGCTCTCAGAACTCTGAATGTGAGCGAAGGTCCTGTCCACTCAGACAATCGATTTCAGAAAAGGAGGAATTTCCAGATCTTTACTCAAAGACCTCAAGGCTATCTTTCATTTATTCCACTACACAACCACATCACATTTCCCCAAAAGTAGGATGTCCCCATATTTATTTTATGTACCAGGGATTGAACTCAGGGACACTCAACCACTGAGCCCTATCCCCAGCCCTATTTTGTATTTTATTTAGAGACAGGGTCTCACTGAGCTGCTTAGGGCCTTGCTAAGTTGCCGAGGCTGGCTTTGAACTCGTGATCCTCCTGCCTCATCCGCCGGAGCTACTGGGATTGCAAGTGTGCACCACTGTGCCCAGCTGATGTCCCAGTTTTAAGTGAATCTAGGGATATGCTCTATGAAAAAATTCTATCTTGTTATCAGTGGGAGTAAAAGTTCTGTGGAGTCCTGCATGACTAGCTTTCCTCAGGATTCTGTTCTAATGTAACATTTCACATGATGTTTTGTTTTACCCAGAGACAGGTTCAAGGCTGTCCTTGAACTCATGATCCTCCTGCCTCAGCTTCCCGAGTAGCTGGGATTCAGGTGCACATAACTGTGCCTGACTCATCTTCTGAGCACATATCCTGGCAAGGGGTTGAATCAAGGAGGTAACATCAGCAAGCATTAAAAAAAAAAAAAAAAAATGACAACACGCTGTCCCTTTGTAGGTGAGTTCCACATGAACAGAGCGAGCTGGCTGGCCTAGTTCCATTTTCCCATGAACTCTCCCACTTCACTAGAGTGCCTGTGAGATTCAGCCAGTGGATGTGTGAATACAGACACCGGGATGAATAGGTGCTTCAACCAGAGTTCAGTGGGCACCATTTACACTTCCACCCGTGCAAGGTTCTGTCAGGGCACCTGAACATGGCTTAAAGAAAAGACCACGATTGGGGGCTGGAATTGTGGCTCAGCGGTAGAGCACTCGCCTAGCACAGGTGGGACTCGGGTTCGATCCTCAGTACCACATAAAAATAAAGGCATTGTGTTGTACCCATCTACACCTAAAAAATAAATATTAAAAAAAAACCACAATTACGTATACACACAGCAATGACCCCCTCCCCCACTGTCCTTGGTGTCGGTCATCTATTTCAGAGGGGACACACCTCCTGTTGTGGATGTTGTGGCCCTGGGCCAAAAATGGGCACACTGGCATCTCTCCCTCATTTTTCTTGGTGCCGGGGATCCTACCTAGGAGCACTTTAGCCACTGAGCTTCATCCCTTGTCCTTTTGTTTATTTTTTTTTTAGTTTTGAAATGCGGTCTTGCTAAGTTGCTGAGGCTGGCCTCCAACTTGTGATTCTCCTGCCTCAGTCGCTGCAATTACAGGAGTGTGCCGCCGCGCCCAACCCAGCTTGCTCTCTTCTTGACCTGCAAGTCCCTGGCACCAACTTGAGTCCAGTGTTCGGAGTGGTCAACAGGCCTTCCATGAGCCGTTGCTAGCTTCGGAGGCTCAGCCTTGCTGAAATAAGGACTGTCTTCCGGAGATGATCTTTCAATAAGCACTGAGCTCATCCCGAGGAACTTTCCGACCCAGGCGACAGGACTTGTGTACGTGTGGAATATGGAACTTGAACTGTGAAGTCCAGCCTGCAGTGCCACCCTAGGAGCTCCCATCACGCACTCACTTCCTGCACTCACTTCCTGTGTGACCAGCAGGATCCTTGACCTCTGTGGGCCTCGCTCCTCTGGCAGGAGCAGGCAGGGCAGCTGGACTTAGCAGTTTTCTTCATTTTCTACTGAGGCGAAACTGAAAGCAGGGTTGAGTGAACTTGGCTCCTCAAGGGTCAGGGTTGACCCAGGACTACGGATTATGAACACACGTGTCCTTTACATTCAAAGACTTGTCTTAAAACTTGCTGGAATCTTATTTTTATTCTATAGTACGTTTTGGCTTACTAAAACACCCACCTACCTTCCCAGGCCGGATCTCCTCTCTAGCTGACATCGCTCCCTCTTACTGATTAACCCCAAGACACCTTCCAGATAGAACATTCAAAGGTCCTTCCTGTGAACCTGGGGCTGATGACAGCTTCTGAAACCCCAAGCACTAGACACCGCTCTCCACGAAAACCTCGGATGTTCCTGGTGGAATACCAACTCTTCAGAATTCTACCCTAATTTTATAAAAACACAGGAGGAAGAATGGTTCTAATTAAGAGTTAGCAAAATGCTGTACAAACACACCTCTGCCCAACTCGGGTTCCAAGCACGGAGCGCACATATGTGACGCCAGCAACTAACCAGGTTTGTTCATCTCATACTTCCTATTAGATCTGGGGAAGAGGCTCAAATCAATTAAATTAATACTGGCAATTTATTGTTCTCTAAAGCTTATTTTAAAAACTAAGCAATGAAACAAAAAAAAGCAACAGTTCTCTTAAGATGTATATCCATTCTCAATCTACTTTTTGTTTTCCATCCATTTTAACAAGTAATTATTAAAAAACAATACAAATCATTCAGGGAATAATATGTAAACCAACCAAAATTCAAACAGATAAAAAGCCTGCTACCTTTAATTTCTGGTCTCTTTCCCACAGTATTGATAGCTCACATAGGAGGCACAAAAAGTAACTTCCAGAACCACAATCCCAAACAGCCCCAAGAGAAAGCTGAGCACACACAAGCTGCACATTTCTTCAATTGTTTTCGAATAAACACAGTATTTAAGGTCTCACCCAATCCTGCACGTGACTTACAGGAGTCATCTCTTTTTCTGAGCTATGGCCTTTGAACTCCTGATTAAATTAAGGACAGGGATTTAAAAATCCTCCATACTAGATGACAAAACAGAAAACCGTGAAACTGCCCATACTCGTTCTGTAAGCAAAGCCTGGAAGAACCCTTTTGGTGCGTCTTTCTGGGAAGAAATCTAATACTATGTAATAAAGTCTTAAAGCTGTTTATATCCTACCACAGACCCTTTAATCTGTTAATTTCACTTTCAAAAATGTACCCTATTCATCAGGTAAGGAACAGCAACACCCTAAATTTATAGTAACAGCAAAACCCCTATACTTATTAATTATTAACCTCAACACCCACTAAGAGAGTGGTGAAATACTTCAACGGCCTTCCAAACAATGGGCCATTATGCAGAGAGCCATTAAAGGCCATCTTTCAAAGAACAGCTCACAATGTGTGTGTGTGTGTGGGGGGGYGGACACCAATATAAATAAGATATCTATATATGGTAAAAACATTTGTAACAAAATAAACTACAGGAATCATGAAATATACCAATAGTAGTAATTAAATGATGAAAATCACAAATGATTTTTATTTTCTTTTGAGTATGATTTCTTACTTTCAAAACTCCCCTATTTTATCATGGGGAGGAAACTATGTTTAAAAAAATTGGCTCTAAAAAATGTGTTGGCACACAGCCACATATTTTAGGACAAAGATTTACTTTGCCCTAAGTTATCTG